GAGCGTCCCCAGACCGTAAATGAGGTGGGCTTGTCCTCCGAATAAGCGGTCCCGGACGAGCAGCGGCAGCGCTCGAGGATGTGGTGGGTTTACTTCCTGGCAAGGGTTCTCCGCACAAAACACCACACATATCTGTGGACAGAGCGATACTGCATCCTGATGGTGATGGGTTGTGCACCTTGCTGACCCAACGAGCTACACAGGATGGCTTGTTTAAGCCGAAGATCTAATCATGCCTGGAAGGTCAGACGAAGTTCAATCTCCTGATCCTCCAAGTTGAGGGTTCGACTAGAATTTGTGTTTCAGTCGGTAAAAAATAGTTGAAGAGTAATCAATCCAAGTATATGGACCTCCACTCCGCTTCACCCGCTGCTTTGTGGTTAGGTTCTTGTTAGAACTAAAGGCTTTGGTTGATAACCCTAATCGTTCTCCTGCTTAGTGACTTGACACCCTACCATTATCTGTCCATCAAACCCCAATGCATATGCATTGCGAGTTTGGCAGCGATCAGTGAAATTCGCTTCTCTGTATTTCGCTGTACGATGATGATTTCTAGCCTGTAACAGTAACTGCGAATGAGGCGCGCTGCAGTATGCGACCGTCGGACATACGCAAGACGTGTCCCAAACAACGGAGCCTATTGAGGTGAATTCGATGCGATAGCGAATTTTTGTTCGATGCATTCCAAAACCCAAGACGACATCTAAGTTACTAACCGGCTCACCCCATCTCACTTGGGCAAGACTACGTAAGCATCGATTTTCGAAAACCACTAGGCGACGGATGTCTTCTTCCCCGAAATTCACAAGCGCAGTGCATAACTGTACAATCGCGCAGTAAATTCGACTTTTCAACTTCGATGAAACATCACGTCGTCGCCATAGGTGTTTCAGTCCTGCGTACGCTGCTCGAGCCTTGCAAATGTAGACGGTTATCTCCTTTGATGGCCTACCGTCGTTGGTCATACAACTACCTAAGTACAAGAAGCAGTCAACTACAGCTAATTTCTGACCGTCTAGTTCTAGGGCAAAGCTCGGCGACCCCCAGTTTTGTAGCATCACTTTGTACTTTGAAGGTGCAAAGCACATGTCGAACGGAGCGACAGAACTTGCTAATCTGTCACATGGTCTTTGTGCATCCTCCATATACTCGAACAAGCAAACGATTTCGTCAGCGTACTCCAAACCGCACAGCTTTTCTCCATCTACCCATTCAATGCCTACATTTTGGAGACCACTAAGTGCGTTCTCCAGTATTTCGTCTATGTCAAAATTGAACAGAAATGGCGAAAGAGAGCACACTTGACGAACACCGCTAATAGTTACGAATGACCTACTCAACTCATCATAGACCCTCACGCTACCGGAAGTATGCGAGTAGTGTGAACTTGATATGTTCAAGTACTTCTGCGACATTCCTTTGTGAAAAAAGGAACCCATAAGGGATTTATGATCAACTGAGTCGAAGGCTCCTTTTAGGTCAAGGAGCATGACAACCGTTGTTCGATAGTGCGTATGGCGTAGCTCGAGGACTTGACGCAGAGTGAAGATTTGGTCAATATAACCGCGACCTGGTCGAAATCCTGCTTGTTGTTCGCGGATGTTTGTCTCCCCGATCCGTGTCAAACGTTGAAGTATGATGGAGGCTAGTCACTTAGTGACGATTGGGATCAATTTCAATATTTCAATCCCTTTTTACTAATAGCTGAAGCCAAGTCCGAGCTGACGGCTTTTCTTCGCCCGAGTTCACCACGGAAAGTAGTGTTCGTCGGGGTTGCCCTCTCCTCTTTTCTATTCAACTTTGATTTAGATTTAATTATGGAAGAAACTCTATCCTCGTTCAACGATAGTGGCATCGATTTACTCCCAGATGGCAGGCTGTCTAATCTGGAGTATTCAGACGAAATTGTGTTACTAAGTTGAGATCCAGGTGAGTTGCAAGCTTTTATGGATAGCTTGAGCGCCAGCGTAGCCATGTTCGGTATGCGTACACTGAGTTGTGAAATGTTTATTGTAACTTTTCGATCCAAACTAGGGTTCGTTGTCGAACGTAAATGAAATGAATGAGATAATGAGATTACCACCTGTCCGTGCACCTGTGTGCTGCTAGTACGTCTATCAGTCCACCAATCGTCGGGTTTCGCGAGTAAGACGTAATGTTTGTCTATCTCGGCGTGTCGGTTGACGACTTGACCGAGTGCAGATCTTCGAGGATTAATCGTTCCCTTTTTAATACATCAAGACCAAATGATGTTAGGAGTATATCGAAAAATCGATGCGCCATGTGTTGTTGTGAATGTTATATTAATCGTTGTTAATGGTTCTCTTTCTTAGCTCGTGCCAGAACCTTTGCGTTATCGATTGCGATCTCGTGACTTGTCCGTGCGCATTGATTACAGATTTGTGACCTAGGGGTCAGCGCGTCGGAAGGCAAGCTTGTGTATGTGTAGGCGAGTGTGTAGTTATTTGCCTGTCTCACCTATGTAGTGTTGGTTGCCGCCCAGGCACGGGATTGCTTAGCTTACTCCTGTTCGACTCAATCCTTGCCGTTGAAAAGAAGATTGCTGCTGGTTTATGAGTGATCTTGATTCCCAACGGTCGGACTATTCGTTCGGTGGCTTCGGACGTGCCGCGTATGTAACGTAGCGTTATTCAAGTTCCTTCTTTTGTATATTGTTTGTTTCTTACCTCTGAGGTATGCTTTGATAAAACTCCCGGGATATACGTTTGATAGGAACAGTTGAAAGAGTCGACTTCTTTCTCTTATTCTTGTCCGATGTGCTACAGTGTTTTTGCTCGGCGTAATAGAGTTCGCACACAACTTTTTGTTGGCACAAAGGGTGGTTGCTGTTGTAGTTGAGGATGCGGTCCGTCGTGGTCGATTTTGGGTAGACCGTGGTTTAGATACTTCTGTCAGATTGCCTCATGAGAAGCATGTTGAGGAAGGAGAGTTGTCCATCTTTTTATTCCTCTCGCGTGAAGTTGATACCGGGCACTTGCTCGTTGATCATTTGGTGGAACTGATCTACCGTGGAGGCTCTGAGTACGACGAAAGTATCGTCCACATACCGTATCCACAGACGAGGTTGTAGAATTTCAAAGGCTTTGGTTCCGAATTGTTTCATAACCGCATCCGCAAGCTGTCCTGTGAATGGAGAACCCAGTGGAGTTCCTCGTATCTGCTGGTTTACCTTACCGTCGAATTGGAAATAGGTTTCCATACAGATTTCTACGAGTTTTGCCATTTCGTCCACGGAAAGTTTCGTTCTTAATTGCAAATTTTGGTCGTTTTGCGACAAGTGTCAGATACTTTCGATGGCTATTTACTTCGGTGTGTTGGTGAACAATAAGGTCACATCGAAAAAAGACCATCAGTTCGTCTGGTTCGATCGTCAGTCCTTTGGTGCGTTCCAGGAATGCCTTAGGTCTTTTCGCATCATTTTGGTTCGACGGTAGGGATGGGTGTAGTAGTTGGAAGAGGTACCTTGCGAGATTGTAGTTGGGTGCTTTTGTGGGTGCAACAATGAGTCGTAGTGGTACATGGGGTTTGTACACTTTCGGTAGTCCATAGAACCATATAGTCAGACCTTCTGTGGGTTTGACTGGTCTATATTCTTCATCTGTTTGTTTCTTGTTTTTCTTAAGAGTGGAAAATGATTTAGTTAGTTGATTTCTCAGCTCCTTTACGGGATTCCCGTTGAGTAGTTGATAAGTTTCTTTGTCTTCGATGAGTTGTCTTATCTTCTTTGTGTATTCTGTTTTGTCCAACAGTGCGATTGCATTGACTTTATCTGCCGTAAGAATGAGGATGTTGTAACCGTTTTTCAGCGATTTCAATGCTTTCATTTCGATATCAGGGATCAACTGCGACTGCTTCCGTTGCTTGAGCTGTTGGCATATTTTGATCCTAATTGCTTCTCTTCTGTCTTCGGGTAACGAGCAGTTTCTTAGTCCGTTCTCCATGAAGGTGATGAAGTCGGTCGGTTTGGCATTAAAGTGGTTGAATTTCAGGACTTTCATGATTCTGTGGTTGTGAGTTGGTGTTTGGCGAAGTTGTGAATTAGCTCGGAATATCCTAAATGTTTTGCGTTTAATTTTTCAAGCTTTCTGTTTAGTTTCACTCTGGTTTTCAAACGGTTTACGGTTTACGTTGTTTATTTGTTCTATCCAATGTGTTCAGCTTTTTGCCTGCTGATAGCGATATCTATCTCTCTGTCTCTTTATCTATCTATCTATCTATCTATCTATCTATCTATCTATCTAGTGATATATCCATCCAATATCTATCTATCTATCTATCTATCTATCTATCTATCTATCTATCTATCTATCTATCTATGTATCTATCTATCTATCTATCTATCTATCTATCTATCTATCTATCTATCTATCTATCTATCCCCTAAGAAATAGTATATGGATCAGTTGACTCAATTTTAGGTTATAAATGGGCAAGAAAAAAGGATACAGCTATTCCAGAAATTTGAAGAAACGAAGGCAGAAAGAAAAAGCAAGGATAAAGATTAAAAAGTAAGTGACACTTTCACTCGTGACTTGATATCGCTATGAGCTGTCATCAATGTTTACATTTGATCTTATCTTTAGCCCCATAATTGATTCCGCTTGGAAACATGGCCAATCCATGAAGGCTAATTTCACTCGTTTGGGTATTGCATACGACCCAAATGAAGTGCTTAAAATCTCTAGCAGGGCTGTAAGTATTGCTTAAAGTGTTTGGCGACTATTTTTTTAGTTTTTCAAAGGGGAGCTCACCAAGATCCCTCGAATCCATAAGCAAACCACAGTGGTTGAAGGTTAGTCGTTTTTCTGATTTGAAATTACTTCAATACTAGCTTTGGAGGAGGCAGCTAAGCGCAGTAAAAAGAAACCAATGTACTTTTCTGATGATGACGGGCTCTTTTGTGTATACAACATTGAAACACATGGGGATAATTATGTGGTAAGTTGTCAGTCTTTCTAGAAAATCTTGTTTTTAGGAAATGGCCAAGGATTCCAAGAACGCCTATCAACTAACACCCAAGCAATTGAAACGACTGATTGAAAAGTTTAAGAAGACTCCTTTTTACACGCAATACACGGAACAAAAGAGATCGGGAACATTCGACTTGACAGCTTTGTACAATACACCTATAGCCTGACAAATCTTCGAACCTGATCAGCTGTATATAATTTCAGTCCTTTCATTGTATATTCTAGATGTTTGCTAACAACATCAGGGATTTTGTCGTTATCTGTTGAGTTCTTTCGAAAGTCATTTAGCATACGACCTGTTCGCTTGATTCATTTTCGCACTCCTTGTGTTTCACAACTGCGTTCTAATGTATTGACTCTGATTTTGGCAGTCATGAAGCGACCGCGTAACAAACAAATCTGGATATATACAATGTAAGAATGTCCAGATTTGTCAGTAAGAAGGAATATACAACCTAGTTCGGGTTGGAGGGAAGGGATAACGAAGCAGTCATGGTTGTTTCGAGAACAATTTTGGATTTTGTACCATCCAAGCTTCTCATATTAGGTTGCATGCAAGTGAAAAAACATTCACGTCACTTACTTCTATTCAGTTTCATATACCCTGGTGTCCTTAGCAAATCTTTTTGACTAAAGCCTCATAGCCCTAACGAAAAACGGATCCGAGCGGCTTTTCAACCCCCTCACCACGTTGCTATTCGTCCGTCGGTGTTTTTCAATCGAGTATAATATCTGCGGATGAAACACGGAATGACACTGTACAGTTATGATAAGTGCGCTAGCCACCTCAGACGATGTAGTGAGCTGTTGTCAAATACATAATTTTCTACCTCGAACATAGTCTGACCTCATCGTGAATCGCGCGATACTCTGTGTACTCAAGTGATCGGTACAAACAACGATATACGAAAATAAATACCCAAAGACTAACTTTTTCAGCCGTAGAGCAAAAACAGTACGTAACTCAGTGCTATACACACTTATAGTTAGCGTGATCGACAACACCGGCCCTAAACAAATCGCAGATTAGCCAAAGCTTTCAATTACCTCTGGAGTGCCATAACCTCACAGAAATGAGATCAGTGTCTTGCCTATCCGGCAGCAGCACCTCTATGATCCAACGAGCTACAGAGTATAGCTTTTATCATACTAAGAGATCATATCACACCCGTAAGGGTAGAGGTCAAACGAAGTTTAGTCTCCTGGTTTTCCAAGTTTGTCGTTCGATTCAAATTAGCTTCTCACTCGGCAATGAATTATGGAGGAGTAATCAGTTCTAGTAAATATACCTCCGATTCGTTTCATCCGCTGCCTTGCGGTCAGGTTCTTTTCGGAACCCAAGGCTTTGGATTAAGACCCTAGTAGCTTTGCTCAGTGGATAACCACCCTAGAAAGTACCCATTTGTCAAACCCCCAATGCAAACACTGATAATAATTCCATATTTCATCGGTCATCGAGCCTTCTTTTCTCCTCAATTGATTTTTGATTCGCTGCCCCTTCGTTCCACAAATTCCCTCTTACTCCTGGGTTTATCCATAAATTCTCTCTGTTGGTCTCCTTTTATCTCTACACTT